GATCGTAGGTTAATCTGAGCTGTGATCTGACTCGGGATCAGCTTTGTGTGTATATAGAGACCGTAGGTTAATCTGAGCTGTGATCTGTGATCTGACTCGGGACCAGCTCTGTGTTTATATAGAGATCGTAGGTTAATCTGAGCTGTGATCTGACTCGGGACCAGCTCTGTGTTTATATAGAGACTGTAGGTTAATCTGAGCTGTGATCTGTGATCTGACTCAGGACCAGCTCTGTGTGTATATAGAGACCGTAGGTTAATCTGAGCTGTGATCTGACTCAGGACCAGCTCTGTGTGTATATAGAGACCGTAGGTTAATCTGAGCTGTGATCTGACTCAGGACCAGCTCTGTGTGTATATAGAGACCGTAGGTTAATCTGAGCTGTGATCTGACTCAGGACCAGCTCTGTGTTTATATAGAGATCGTAGGTTAATCTGAGCTGTGATCTGACTCGGGATCAGCTTTGTGTGTATATAGAGACCGTAGGTTAATCTGAGCTGTGATCTGACTCGGGACCAGCTCTGTGTGTATATAGAGACCGTAGGTAAATCTGAGCTGTGATCTGTGATCTGACTCAGGATTAGCTCTGTGTTTATATAGAGACCGTAGGTTAATCTGAGCTGTGATCTGACTCGGGATCAGCTCTGTGTGTATATAGAGACCGTAGGTTAATCTGAGCTGTGATCTGACTCAGGACCAGCTCTGTGTGCATTGTTAATGTACCTAGAGACTGTAGGTTAATCTGAGCTGTAATCTGAGCCTCCTTCAGCAGTTCCTCCTGACTCAGGATGCGCTCTGTGTTGGTTTTCCGGCGGCGCGGCGCCTCCATCTGGCGCTCCTGCAGACGCTCAAAGGTCTTCCTCGTGTGCTCGCTGGTGGACTTACGCACCGACTTGCGCACTGCAGAGAAAAAATAAAGTACATTTAAGAAACGTGAACATTTTTCATACTTACAGCTACAGAAATGATGAATCCCAGTGAAACCGTTAAACTCAGAGAGTCTGTATGTGGGTCAGTCCACCTGACGCAGCAGCTTAACATTAAAATCATACCTGACAAATGAAATCAGCTTAAATACGTGACTGTAACAGAGTAAATGCAACGGCGGTAGATAATCTAGATACAGTAAAACTGTAGCCGTACTGTTACAGTAATGCCACTGTATCGATGGCTCTTTCATGAGTCGTGTGTTTATTTCGGGAGGGGGGCTGACAGCGGAGAAATCTGGAGAAAAAGGCTGCAGCTCACACTCTTTTACTCAGACTATAGAGATTTGAGTCAGTATCTATATTTATTATCAGAACTGAGATCTGCAGGGTTTTTGTTAAGATATCAGTAAACTATCAGTAAATGTTCTACAGTTTGTCCGTTTGGCTATAAATCTTACTTTTTCTAATGTTCTGAAGTGAACTGAGGTTAACTTACCATGAAACAGACGAATAAACGTGAGAACAGTCTTGTGTGCAGTGAGGTTTTATTTTCACATGCGATTTCTTTCTTTAACGAAACCAACAGATGTACAGCAGCTACTGCACAGTGTGACTGACTACAGACGGTGAAACACGTCATTCTGCATTGCAGTGTTTTAATCTACATTCACTTTATTTTAGCACTTTAAGGCGGTACAGGAGGTGGTTTGACGGTACAGGAGGGGGTTTGACGGTACAGGAGGGGGTTTAGGCGGTACAGGAGGGGGTTTGACGGTACAGGAGGGGGTTTGATGGTACAGGAGCGGGTTTGACGGTACAGGAGGGGGTTTGATGGTACAGGAGGGAGTTTAGGCGGTACAGGAGGGGGTTTGACGGTACAGGAAGGGATTTAGGTGGTACAGGAGGATGTTTAGGCGGTACAGGAGGATGTTTAGGCGGTACAGGAGGGGTCTGGTGGTCCAGGAGGGGTTTAGCGGTGCTGGAGGGGTCTGGTGGTACAGGAGGGGAGTTTAGCAGTGCAGAAGGGGTTTGGCGGTGCAGAAGGGGTCTGGTGGTACAGGAGGGGGTTTGGCGGTGCAGAAGGGGTCTGGTGGTACAGGAGGGGGTTTAGCGGTGCAGGAGGGGATTTAGGCGGTACAGGAGGGGGTTTAGGCGATCACCCTTAAGAGCAGATCACTGTGTATTAGAGCTGATCTCTTGATGCTGGATGAATAAGCCTTCAGCTCCTGTTTATGTCAGGTGATGAACTCCACTGCACACCTGATTCAGCTCAGGGTCAGCTGGTGTGTTAAAAGAAGGAAAATCACCAAGCTGTGCTGAACCCCAGCCCCTCCGGGACCCCCGTTCTCCACCCCGGTTTACTCCAGTCCAAATGTGCGAGACTCAGTGTGCGAGACTCAGTGTGCGAGACTCAGTGTGCGAGACTCACGCTCTCCGTACTCCTGCAGGTCCTGGTGAGAACGTTTTTCGGCTTTGGGTCTCTCTGTTCTCTTCGGTTCTTCAGACGGACGCTTCACTTTCGGCTTTACCGCCTTCACTGGCTCCTGCACACACGCACACACACACACACACGCACACGCACACGCACACACACACACGCACACGCACACACACGCACGCACACGCACGCACGCAGGCACACACACACGCAGGCACACACACGCAGGCACACGCACGCAGGCACACACACATGCACGCACGCACACACACGCACACACAGGCACACACACACGCAGGCACACACACACACGCAGGCACACACACACACACACACAGGCACACACACACACGCAGGCACACACGCACGCACGCACACACGCAGGCACACACGCAGGCACACACGCACGCGCACACACACGCAGACACACACGCACGCGCACACACACACACACGCAGACACACACGCACGCGCACACACACGCAGACACACACGCACGCGCACACACACACACACGCAGACACACACGCACGCACGCACACACGCACGCAGGCACACACAAACACACACGCAGACACACACGCACGCGCACACACACACACACGCAGACACACACGCACGCGCACACACACACACACGCAGACACACACGCACGCGCACACACACACACACGCAGACACACACGCGCACACACACACACGCAGACACACACGCACGCGCGCACACACACACACACGCAGACACACACGCACGCACGCACACACACGCACGCACACACGCACGCAGGCACACACACACACGCACGCACACACGCACGCACGCACACACGCACGCACGCACACATGCACGCAGGCACACACACACGCACGCACGCAGGCACACACACACGCAGGCACACACACAGAGCTAAGGAACAGGCCGTCTGACTGAGGTTAAAATGAGAATTGGGAATTAAAATGAAGGCGAATTGTCTGACTTCAGAGACCAGATCAGACTCCTCATTATTCACCACCATCACTGTAATATTTCATCATCAACATTAACACATGAAGGTGATCAGAGGGGCGGTGGAGTCTGCAGCGTCTGAGATCTTTAAAACGCAGAGTTAGAAAAGAAAATCATCTCACAGTGAAAGCAGCGTTTTACAGTAGAAATAAATGGAGCTCATTATGCTGGTAGTGAACTATGCTGCTGACACAGCTGCCTAAAAACCATAGAAACGGACCTTAAACAGAAGTGAGGACCCTGTTGGGGTTCATCCTAAAGTTAGGACAGGATTTAGGAGGTTTAGTCTAGTTAGGATGTTTGTGTGATGCTGTTTTCTTATCTGGAGTTCATGATGAGATTATGAAGGTAGGAGCTGATATTCTGGAATAGATACTGAACTAAACTCGGTCTGGACAGAAGTCGTCATGGACACAGATTTCAGAGTTAGGATGTTTCCGTAATACGACTCCTGGTAATATGGTTTCTGTAATATGTGCTGCTGGTGGTGAAGTGTGTGTTATTCTTACTTTATAAGCCTTTGTAACGACGCGGCTCTTCCTGCGGGGGGCGTCCTCCTCCTCATTACTGTCTGGCTCATCTCCTTCATCGATGTCGAAGTCACTGTCCACTTCATCCTCCGTGTCTGAGTGGTCACCTCGGTACTCATCATCTCCAGACTCCTACAAACACACATTGCATTGATCAAGATTACTCAATACATTAACACAACTATTAACCCTCTGTAGGTGGTTTATAAACTCTCTGTGTGTGATATTACGTTAATATTCACGTTGTTAAACCCTCCGTAGGTGGTTTATAAACTCTGTGTGTGATATTACGTTAATATTCACGTTGTTAAACCCTCTGTAGGTGGTTTATAAACTCTGTGTTATTATATTAATACTCACGTCGTTAAACCCTCCGTAGGTGGTTTATAAACTCTGTGTTATTATATTAATACTCACGTCGTTAAACCCTCCGTAGGTGGTTTATAAACTCTGTGTTATTATATTAATACTCACGTCGTTAAACCCTCCGTAGGTGGTTTATAAACTCTCTCTGTGTTATTATATTAATACTCATGTCGTTAAACCCTCCATAGGTGGTTTATAAACTCTCTCTGTGTTATTATGTTAATACTCATGTCGTTAAATCCTCCGTAGGTGGTTTATAAACTCTGTGTTACTGCATTAATACTCACGTCGTTAAACCCTCCGTAGGTGGTTTATAAACTCTGTGTTACTGCATTAATACTCACGTCGTTAAACCCTCCGTAGGTGGTTTATAAACTCTCTCAGTGTTACTGTATTAATACTCACGTCGTTAAACCCTCCGTAGGCGGTTTATAAACTCTCTCTGTGTTATTATGTTAACACTCACTTCGTTAAACCCCCCGTAGGTGGTTTATAAACTCTCTCTGTGGTATTATGTTAATACTCACAACGTTAAACCCTCCGTAGGTGGTTTATAAACTCTCTCTGTGTTACTGTATTAATACTCACGTCGTTAAACCCTCCGTAGGTGGTTTATAAACTCTCTCTGTGTTACTGTATTAATACTCACGTCCTTAAACCCTCCATAGGTGGTTTATAAACTCTCTCAGTGTTACTGTATTAATACTCACGTCCTTAAACTCTCCGTAGGCGGTTTATAAACTCTCTCAGTGTTACTGTATTAATACTCACGTCGTTAAACCCTCCGTAGGTGGTTTATAAACTCTCTCTGTGTTATTATATTAACACGTCATTAAACCCTCCGTAGGTGGTTTATAAACTCTCTCAGTGTTACTGTATTAATACTCACGTCGTTAAACCCTCCGTAGGTGGTTTATAAACTCTCTCAGTGTTACTGTATTAATACTCACGTCCTTAAACCCTCCGTAGGTGGTTTATAAACTCTCTCAAAGTTACTGTATTAATACTCACGTCGTTAAACCCACTGTAGGTGGTTTATAAACTCTCTCAGTGTTACTGTATTAATACTCATGTCGTTAAACCCTCCGTAGGTGGTTTATAAACTCTCTCTGTGTTATTACGTTAATACTCACTTCGTTAAACCCTCCGTAGGTGGTTTATAAACTCTCTCAGTGTTACTGTATTAATACTCATGTCGTTAAACCCTCCGTAGGTGGTTTATAAACTCTCTCTGTGTTATTACGTTAATACTCACTTCGTTAAACCCTCCGTAGGTGGTTTATAAACTCTCTGTGTTATTATATTAATACTCATGTCGTTAAACCCTCCGTAGGTGGTTTATAAACTCTCTCTGTGTTATTACGTTAATACTCACGTCGTTAAACCCTCCGTAGGTGGTTTATAAACTCTCTCTGTGTTATTACGTTAATACTCACGTCGTTAAACCCTCCGTAGGTGGTTTATAAACTCTCTCAGTGTTACTGTATTAATACTCATGTCGTTAAACCCTCCGTAGGTGGTTTATAAACTCTCTCTGTGTTATTACGTTAATACTCACTTCGTTAAACCCTCCGTAGGTGGTTTATAAACTCTCTCTGTGTTACTGTATTAATACTCACGTCGTTAAACCCTCCATAGGTGGTTTATAAACTCTCTCTCTGTGTTATTATGTTAATACTCACGTCGTTAAACCCTCCGTAGGTGGTTTATAAACTCTCTGTGTTATTATGTTAATACTCACGTCCTTAAACCCTCCGTAAGTGGTTTATAAACTCTCTCTGTGTTACTGTATTAATACTCACGTCCTTAAACCCTCCGTAGGTGGTTTATAAACTCTGTGTTACTGCATTAATACTCACGTCGTTAAACCCTCCGTAGGTGGTTTATAAACTCTCTCTGTGTTACTGTATTAATACTCACGTCCTTAAACCCTCCATAGGTGGTTTATAAACTCTGTGTTACTGCATTAATACTCACGTCGTTAAACCCTCCGTAGGTGGTTTATAAACTCTCTCTGTGTTACTGTATTAATACTCATGTCGTTAAACCCTCCGTAGGTGGTTTATAAACTCTCTCTGTGTTATTATGTCAATACTCACGTCGTTAAACCCTCCATAGGTGGTTTATAAACTCTCTCTGTGTTACTGTATTAATACTCATGGCGTTAAACCCTCTGTAGGTGGTTTATAAACTCTCTCTGTGTTATTATGTAAATACTCACGTCGTTAAACCCTCCATAGGTGGTTTATAAACTCTCTCTGTGTTACTGTATTAATACTCATGGCGTTAAACCCTCTGTAGGTGGTTTATAAACTCTCTCTGTGTTATTACGTTAATACTCACGTCGTTAAACCCTCCGTAGGTGGTTTTGTAGAAGTCGTCTTCTTCCTCCTCGTCCAGGAGTTTGGAGAGGCGGTTTCCAGCAGTGCTGCGCTGATCTCGGCCCAAAGCCAGACTCATCTTTACACCACTGACCATAAAACACAATAAACACAGTCTAAACCAGAGAAAGTAAACTCGAATAGTGTGGATTATTTATCCATTAAACTGAGGATTAAACACGTAACTCACTAAACTGCACTATAAGTCAAACTAAATCAGTGATATTAAACTCAAATGGGGCAGATTAATCCAGTAAACTGAGGATTAAACATATAACTCAGTTAACTACACTATAGATCAACAAAAATCACTATAAGTCAGGCATTAAATTAAGCCATCAAAGTGAAGATTAATCCACTAAACTCAGACTGAAGCGGTTTAATCTTGAGTTTAACTTCAGGTTGAGGATAAAACACTGAATCCAGAGTCTGTATCAGCATCAAACACACTAAAACACACAATATACCTCAATACAACTCACCAAACCACATTATAACTCACTAAATTGCATTTTAACTCATTAAACTCCAGTATAAGTCACGAAACTCCAAGATAACTCAGTGTAAATCAGAGATATTAAAGCCCCACAGTGTATTAAACGGTCACTGACCTCTCAGTGAGCTGAACTCGGAGCGGGTCGGGCGGTTCGGGTCCTGTTTGAGGTTTAAACGCTGAATCCGGTGAATCAAACACACTGAACTCGCTCTGAGAGCTCAGTATAAATCAGATTAACTCACTAATTTACACTATAATTCACTATAAATCACTATAAATCACCGATAAACCGAGAAAACAAAGCCGCCCAGACACAAACACAGCGCGCCGCTCCGCTCTGCACTTCCGCTGTAGACCACAGTCTGACACTGACACTGACCCCTGCAGGAGCGGAGGAGGAACTGCGGCACTCTAATACAGACTACGCTAAATACATTATTATTATTATTATTATTATTATTATTAATATATATTAATAATACAGTCTGTAGAGAATCACAGTCTGATACCGACACCTACAGGAGCGGAGGAGGAACTGCGGCGCTCTAATACAGACTACACTAAATACATTATTATTATTATTATTATTATTATTGTTATTATTATTATTATTATTATTATTATTAATATATATTAATAATACAGTCTGTAGAGAATCACAGTCTGATACCGACACCTACAGGAGCAGAGGAGGAACTGCGGCGCTCTAATACACAGTATACTGAATGCATTATTATTAATTATGCCCATGATGCACTGCGTGAACAGTGAGAGCTGAGTTGAGCTGAATGAAGCTGTCATGTAGTGAAGCAGCAGTTTCGCCATCCGACTCAGTTAAACCTCTTTTTTACTGATTCATGTTTGTGTTTATTCTGTGATTTAGTGTCTGCATGTAAAAACATAACGTTTCTGTGTATAAACGGTGTCATATTTTACTCAGTTATGGGCTCTGTGCCCTTATATTGTTCTGTTGGTCATTAACAATGCAACCCACATTTATTTTATTGGGATGTTAATTCTCTTTAAGACTAGCCACTGAGATACTGAATTCATATTAGTGGCCAGATTAAATAGATAAAATGAATACGCATCAGAACAATGTCAAGATCAATTAATACATATTTCGTCAGCACTGTTAAGGCTAACTGACTCTTCTGATTGAACGACTAACACAGCAGCATTCAGTCTTTAAACTGTTACTGCTAAAGAGCCTGTTAGTCCTTTCTGTTTGATTCAGTACATTTTCTTGCTGTAAAGTTGTAAACAAACAAGATGCACTTGTATGAAGTCGCTTCTTATTCGCCAGCTTGTTGTTTGAATTTTCCCATTCCATCTTAAATGGTGCAGCAGCTATTATTATCACACCTCAGGTACCAGAATGTAACTGGTGGAACGGGACAATTTGAACAGGAAGCTGGCGAATAGGAAGCCCCTTCAGCCTCCTTGTTCTCTGTGGCTGAAACCAGGCTGATGAGTAACGTTACTGTCCTGTCTCGCCTGCACAGCTCAGACCATGTAAACATTACAGACACAAGTTTGATTTTATGCAGTGAAGATGACTGCCTATGGGGAATTCTCAAGCTAACGGTGATGCTAATTACGCGCTACTTTCACTTAAAACAAGGCAAGTTTATTTATACAGCACCTTTCAAACACTCCTGTCATCCAAAGTGCTTTACAAATGAGAAGTCAGAGTTGTTTTAAAAAAAAAGTAAAGCACAAATAGAAAAACAGAATTAAACACAGATATTAATTAAAAATGAGATATTAATTACCTACAATTACTAACTTATTATTTATTCACAACAAGAACATAAACATCATTTTTAGTGCAGTGCAAATTGTTACCACAGTATTACCATTTTATTACCAACATGTTATGCTGTAATTAATAATTTATTATTTGTCTGATATATAAAATAAAAACAATGCATGGAAAAAAAAAAATTAAAGCAAAGCCAGAAGGACCTAAAATGCTTCTCTTTTTTAGTGAATGGCCTCATTTCTTGCTCTTTGCTTTAGGAGAAGTTTATGAACTGGTCAGGAGGAATGTCCAGGATGACGGCGATGTGAGTCGGAGATCAGTCTCTGAGCACTAAGATGTTCCCTTGTACAGAAATTCTGAACAGATATGAATTTGTTTCAGTGAGTTTTGAATAAAGACACAGATGAGTTCACTGCACTCTTCAGTTTAATGCTGATGTTCATCATTCAGACAGTAAATACGGTTTCAGCCCTTTTCCAGCCAGAATGTAACAATTCATTTCATTAACCACACAAACAGCAGGCAGACAATCGACTGGACTCAAACTACACACTGGAAATTAAAAACCCAACCCCACATTAACTCTGGCAGGAAAACACACTTTGCCATGTCATCAGCATTTTAGTCAAGGTACATTTTATTTAGGCAAGTCTGGATTTTTATCTCAGGGAAAAAAATTTTTGTTGAACACTTCCAATGCCTTAATGGTGTATAATGCTATCAGATCTTTTTCAAAAGCTTCCATTTTATCATATTTCTTTGCTTTTTCATCTTTATAATGCATAATAAAGCCATGAAATGTACAGTATTTCTCACAACAGCAGGACGCAGTCCAGAAGTGACTCGGCACATTGACCTTCCCCTCTTTCTTCAGGGTTTGTTTTTCTTTATTCGGCACAACTCCTGTTACGACATAAGCCCCCCCTTTTCTGTTCACACAGTCACTCAGGACCTGAGCCACTTTGCTCTCCACTTCTTCGTACCAGTTCCTGTTGAATGTACTGAGCTGAGGAGCCGCGTTGGTGAGGGTGAAGGTGCTGATTGCAGCCTCTTCAGAGCCAGTGTGGCAGAAAGGATACAGGTGACCTTTTTGAAGAGAACCGGAGCCTTTTTGGCCTTCATAGTCACGGTTGTAGGCCTGACGATCATGTACTGTCATCTTGTCTTGCAGTGCCATATCAGAACTCTCTCCTTCATCAAGCTGTAACACAGGTTAGATAAAGTCATGAAATTCAAAGTTTGATCAGTAAAAGTTGTTTTCTCTGCTCGCAGATAAAGGATTTGAATGTACGTGATCCCTCACAAATTTACTGGTGGAGAATTCAAAATTTGCTCAGGACCTGTACAGTTAACCCCAAATTCAAACATAATTCCAGCAGTCACTCCCCCTTAGCTTAGAATGAAATTAGTAGGCACTTATACCCCACTGATTACCATGGTGCTAACTGGACGTCTAAATCATCACACACTCCTCAATCTGTGTGGAGTTGGTCAGTATCTCTAATAGACTTGATTATGTGGTTTCTGACTCTCTTCCACAGGGTGGCAAGTGTGTGAAGCTTTAGGCTGAATCATGTTAGAATCTGTACTTTCTTACCTGAGGTTCGATCATCCATGTTATATCAGGTCTTTCTACTTCACAGTCCGATCCCCTTTCATACCGATATGCAGAAAACACAGGAATCCTTCCTGTGGTGTCATACAGAGTCGCTTATAAGAGATACTTATTATCATATTTCTGACAGATCGGAACAAAGCGACCCTTTGAGTCTGTTCCAAAGCCAAACACTGGTGGTTCATCATTTAGGAAGAATTTTTTACATTCTGTAAAGTCCTTGACCACCTCCCCCACCTCCCCCACAGCGAGGAGCATCAGCACTGAAACAAACAGCTTCATCTTCAGAGAGAACCAGAGGAGAACGTTCGCTCTTCTCTAACGGTCCGGTCTTCAGAAAGAGGAGAACGTTCGCTCTTCTCTAACGGTCCGGTCTTCAGAAAGAGGAGAACGTTCGCTCTTCTCTAACGGTCCGGTCTTCAGAAAGAGGAGAACGTTCGCTCTTCTCTAACGGTCCGGTCTTCAGAGAGAGGAGAACGTTCGCTCTTCTCTAACGGTCCGGTCTTCAGACAGAGGAGAACGTTCGCTCTTCTCTAACGGTCCGGTCTTCAGACAGAGGAGAACGTTTGCTCTTCTCTAACGGTCCGGTCTTCAGAGAGAGGAGAACGTTCGCTCTTCTCTAACGGTCCGGTCTTCAGACAGAGGAGAACGTTCGCTCTTCTCTAACGGTCCGGTCTTCAGACAGAGGAGAACGTTCGCTCTTCTCTAACGGTCCGGTCTTCAGAGAGAGGAGAACGTTCGCTCTTCTCTAACGGTCCGGTCTTCAGACAGAGGAGAACGTTTGCTCTTCTCTAACGGTCCGGTCCTCAGAAAGAGGAGAACGTTCGCTCTTCTCTAACGGTCCGGTCTTCAGAGAGAGGAGAACGTTCTCTCTTCTCTAACGGTCCAGTCTTCCATCACGCCTACTTAGATTACAAGGTGCTGCTCACTATTAGTACCTAGAATTAATACTACATCAGGGGGCGAAGCTTCTCATACAAAGCCCCCAGCTTTGGAATAATCTTCTAGTCAGTGTTCGGGACTCAGACTCAGCCTCAGTGTTTAAGTCTAGGCTAAAACCCACTTGTTCAGTGGAGCCTTTGGTAATTAGTTTTCCCTGTTAGATAAAAGGTGCAGATCTGGGGTTCATGGTCATGGAGTGTTATGGTAAACTGGGAGTGTTGGTGCCGTCGTCCTGCTGCTCACTCACTCACTCAGGTTTGCTGACGGTGGAGTGGAGGGGCGCCGACATCTCAGGGAGCCTCATGACTCTGTTACCTTTCTGGTTTCTCCCTCTTAGTGAGGCTGTAATATCTAGACCTGCTGGAGTCTCTGCTGCTCTGTTACACTGTATACAATGTGCGAAATACAGGGGCTCCTAGAGGGTCTCGGATCCCCTCATTAACCTCTCGGACCCCCTGAATGTTCATCCAAATGAAAATCAATTTTTTTTTTGCTGTTGCCGCCAGTAGCGACCCTCATGGGCGCTCAGACCTGGATTTCTCTGTAAAGCTGCTTTGTGATGATGCCTGTTTTAAAAAGCTCTATTTAAATAAACTTTGAGTTGACTTGTTCAGTATTGGTGGGGAGAGTGGGAGCTAAAGGTACTCAGAAAGTAAGAGGATATCCTTCTGGGTCGCGGGCGGAGCTGGAGCCTATCCCAGCAGTCATTGGGTGGAAGGCAGGATACACCCTGGACAGGTCAGCTGTAAGCAATGTCAGTAACAACATTTTGTAATTTTTTATCAGGCCTGTCACTTTTTTCTCAGTAGTTTATAATGTTTTTCTTGTTTTCCAAAATAAAAGCCTGCACGCATTTAAAATCAGTTTGAGGAGATACAGGACAGTAATCTGGGTGGTCCAAGGGTGGTCCAGCAGTGGTCAAGTGGTAAAGTCAGCTTTTTTGTCAGTCGGTTGTTGTTTTTTTTCTGTTTCTGTTCATTTACCCAGATAGCGGATGTGATAGAGCTCAAACCCGGGCCACAACCGCCCTTTA